GTCACATTTGAGTGTCCTCACACCTCAGGTCTCACCTGCAGGCAATATCTCTGACAATGTTCTGCTTCCTTTGTTTACACTTTGAGTATTTGAATTCTTCAAAGCTACGCATAAATTCTTCAAAGTTTTGCATAAAGTTTTGAGCGGCTTCTTCCTCAGAAGTTGGGAGCCAGTCCTTCTTTGTGGTCGGTTCTTAGTCTGGAAGCTCCACTGAAATCTGTCCACTTTGGTGACCCTGCTGGCATCTGAAATGCCAGTGGCATAGCTTCCAGCATCACAGTGACACACAAGCTAGCACAGGACAACAAACTGACATGCAGGAGGAGGAATGGTTTTTAAAATGTAAATGGCAACATTAAAGCTAACTGTATCATTTATATTTTAATTGAGATTAATGAAATTTACTATCTACATGTTAAAAATCATTTCACTAATCTCAATTTTTAAAAATAGAAATGGTACAGTTAATGTTAAAAAAATAAAAAATAAACCCAAAGATCACGAGAAATAATTAGGTTATTCTTCCTGTTTTCCTTTTCTTAACACCTTTCAATTTTTATTACTCATTTTTCCCATTTTCCTTAATGTACAATACATTCGTTTTGCAGTCAATGAACACAGAATTACATAAGTAAATGTCTGCTTTTCCCACTCACCTCCTTCCATAACCACTTCAAGAAAAACACTCATAAATATCCCACTGATTCTACTGGTACAGCTGTTTGTAGCCATCGAGCCTTTCTTAAGTCACACTACATACTGAAGAGAAGTGGCAGAGACATCTTAGAGAAATTAGAGATGTTTACTAAGCCAGATTTGCTATTTGTGACAAACGCCAAAGGTAGCAAACAAGAAACTGAGTTGTAATTTACTAGATTGTTTCAAAAATGGTATTAAATAAAAAAGCATTACTACTCAGGTTCTAGTTCACATATACAGAGGTTTATTCCAAACAAAATATGCTTAAACATGTCTGTAATCAATGGATGGCTGCACCCAAGTTCTCTCAGTAATACACTTGTCTTAACAGCATGATGGTGCCTCTTCAGTAAGAAGATCCAACAAAAGCCATAGTTTCTACGGGGATTCTGCTGAGCCATCATAAGGTTATAGAAACTGTTGTTTTGTTTTTTGTTTTGGGGGGTGGGGGGATTCCAAAAGGGTATCTTCATAGAGTTCCTTGAAATATGTAGAATGATAAAGAGTATTGTAAGAAAATTTATAACTGCATGGTTAAGAAAAAAACCAGGAGGACGTGTAGAGGAATTTTTGTTTCCCCATCATGACAATGCACTTGAGTAAGAGGAAGCAAAGGCTGCCCGATGATAATTTCACTTGAAATTATCCTCCCATCACCTTAATCTTGATCCTTGAGATTTTGTTGTTCTTGTTGTTCTCAAAACTCAAAGAACACTTAAAGGGGCACATGAGTTTCTCAAAGATGCCAAAACTGCCATTTTGAGGTGGTGTAAATCAGTGTAGAGTTCTTCAGGGAAGGATTAAAATGAAAGAAAGAACACTTTCAGAAGTGTATGGAACTAGATGGAAGATATGGGTATGTCACAAATGGGTTCACATTTTTATTTTTTTTAATAAAGATTTCTATAATTTGGGAGCAATACTTTTTTACTTAGTCTTGTATTATGAAAGAAAACATTTGAATTTCTGAAAAGGCTACATTATATTTTGTATTTTATTTAACTGTAATAATAATAGAATTCTTAACTGCCACAATAATTCTTTTATAAATATCTTTGTTTCTTTTAAAATAGGAAGTCCAAACCTACATTGACACACCCATCTAGAAATCTATAGGTTTTTTTCCCCTCCAGAAGTGCCACCCAATTACAGTTTCCAGATGTTTGAGGACATATTTATAAAACACCTGGATAGTTATATGAAATTTTCAATTCCATCTGGCTGTTTTTCACTATGAAAAGTGAGTCACAGACACCAACATCAATTCTCTAGTTTCTCCCCAAAATATATCAAGGTAAATATTATAATTCTATATGGCTTCTTAATTGAGGTTTAATAATCTCTTCACGCACAAAAAACAAATAATGTTCTAATGATTTTTACAACAAAAATGTCTTTGCATGTGGCAGATGGTAACTCATACCTGTAATTTTTTTGCATATTGGTTGAACATTAGTGTCACACATTCATTGATAGCACCTGTTCTTTGAAGAAGTAGTAGTCCCTTGGGGGTAGCAGCAAAATTTAGTAAATCATCTAATAAATTCTCTTCCCAAGCCATGCTGTAAGAACAAGTAAAAGAAAGATATAATTTTCTACAGCTGGCTCAAAACTAAAAAGAAAGAAAATGCTTCAGCTTAATACTGTTGGTAATTAGATTTATAGAACACAAGTTGATTATAAGTTACTCATAAATGCTTAATAACCCATAAAAACCATGGAGTCTATGATAGTTCCTTATTTGTCTTGCATGTCCTATAATAATAATTGTCCTTCCCTGAATCACTTATTAACTGCATATGTCAAATTTTTTATTATATCTAGGTTCTTTGACTCACGCCTAAGCTTCATTCTATGTTCCTATTGTAACTCCATAGATTTCCCAAACCCCATATCTCCATTATTTCTGTATTTTATTTTTATTATGAAATATTGGACTTCTGAATTTTGAAAGCATATCACATATATTATCCTTTTCCCATAGATTTTTAATTTAAACTTTTGGAAAATGACATCTTTTTTTTCTTTTCCTCAAAACAGCTCTGTAAGAAAATCCACCACCTTCTCCAAAGAAAAGACTTACAACACCACGAAGACACAGTAATATGATCAGATTAAAAAGAAAAAGCAAGAAAAACCGAAATTAACAGTAGAAAAGGTCCCCCAAATACCATTATCTCCAAAAATGTAAAATACTGATATCCAGCTAATCAGGAAAATATCGTTAGGGTAACAAAATGGATAAAAACATCAAACCTCCTACCCAGAATAGTAGACAGTAAAGGATGAGGGAAATATACTATGTCTAACAGATAAGATGGATATACTGACCCAAATCCCATCTGTAACCTTTTCACACCCAGTCCCATCCAGACAAGTTGGCTAGATGACAAATCCAGTAACACAACTACAAAAAGTTCTGTTTTCTTACATAAAATGACTCATCGACATTAAAAGAAAACCTTCTATTTTGAAAACGTAGTTATGAAATCTTACTTTAAGAGCAATTCTTCAACCATGAGGAAAACACACACACACATACTTATTAACGACGATGGAAAACAAAGGTCTCCAATAGTATCACTTAGCCAATACACCACTTCTAGACATCTGTCTACAAATGGAATTCTTTTTAGAAGAGTCACCATATAACAGAGAGCCAGAACTGTTTTCCCAGATGCTTCTGAGTGGGATCAAACTTTTGGGCTAGTAGTTAAGCACCTAATAGAATGGTTGATTAAGTGTATAACAATTATACTAGAAACAAATTACAGTAAAACTTTACAAAATTAACTATTTGTTGAGGCATTGTATGTGCTTTGTGCTGTGATCCTCATGGTTGGCAGTTGGAAACCACCCGCATCTCTGCGGGAGAAAACTAGGCTTTCTACTCCTGTAAACAGTTACAGTCCCGGAAAACAACAGGGGGCCACTACATGGCAGCATTGACTCAATGTCAGTCAGGTGTTTTTGTTTTGTTTTGAGCCATTATATTGTTAAGGTAATGTGAAATAGCTTTTTCTGTTTGTCTGTTTATGTAAGTTAAATTCTGCCTACTAAAGAAAAAAGTCATCTTTAACATTTGGAGACTATTCCTTAAAATTCTAATTTTTATCTTTCAAACTATGTGATTACCCAATTACAAAATAAAAAGAGGACCCTCAAATACATGCTGATACCCTTAATTTTTAAAAATTCTTGTTAATATAACTCCATATCCAATTGATATTTGGAGAGAAAAATGACAGGGAAACTAAAATGTAATATATATATATATATTTAAAATAATGCCCCAATGCCAAAATCTAATTAAACTACACTGCTGCATAATTTTAAAAGCAGAATTTAAGTATAAATTATAATTTAAAATATTTTACCTCTAGTGAAACTCTCCAGCTAGATTTCTAATATTAATATTTGACAGTTCTCCAAATCTCTGGAACACTACATTCAGTTGAATTTCTTAATCCAAAATATAAACACAGAATGAAACTAGTATAATAAATGTTGCTGAATTTTTAAAGGTTATAAATAAAGTATCATATGTGTCCTAAAGCTTCTCCTAGCTATGTATACATAAATTTGATCCTACATGTATACATTTACCATCTGATATATTATTTTTGCTACAGTATTCTATTATATTCTCATTTTAAACTTATTTCAATAACTGTGGAAACAGTTAAGTTTAATTCATTGAATTTACCTGTTCTGGGATTGCTGGCTTATTGAAGAAACAGAATCGGAACCTTCTACTGGGGTAGGAATTCTTTCTGATAGCAAACTTGCCTAAAAATATTGATTAAAATCATTATTCTTAAAAAAAAAAAATCATTATTCTTGTTCTTACTAAAAGTATTACTTATAAGATCTCCTAAATTTCTTCTTATTGAATGTTTACTATAATTAAAATTGAGTTAAATTACTTCAAAATTTAAGTTCTTTGGTTATTAATTAAATATTACAAAAATATACTTAATAAAGTAAGTAATTTTTTAACAGACACCTTTGGTAACCCACTATACTGGATTATTGTTACATTATAATCTTAACTGTCCATAACAACTGAAAGGTCCAGTTTCATAGAAATAGCCTCTAAAGAGGGATGTCTATAAAAGGAGAATTTATTTAAACCTACTAGAAGGGGGTACTAAAATCGTTCTGTGCCAAAGTGAAAGCATTATATCCCTTTGAGTCTAGGAAAACTAAAGAAGTCATATTTTCCCGGCAAATATTTTATCTTAAGTACAGTACTCCAATGATGGTTACCATTGAAAACAATGATTTCCAAAGATGAAGAAACTTGAAAATACTCACCTTTTTCCATGCTTTTGCTATAGATTCGTGCAAACTATAAGGAATTAACATCTGCAAGCCTTCACATGTACCATATATTTGACGACAAACCAACATAAAAGCTCCTGTAACCATAGGCAACATCTCTGATCCAGAAAACATGGGAATATCTTCCTCAAGAAGTTTCTTTGAAAACTGGGCAATTATGTGAGCACCTGTGGGACTGAAAGATGACACGTACAGGTGAGTCCAACTTCATATAGATTCAGCTTCATAAAACCAAATCCAAAGAGGCCATCTTTGTAACAAAATCTTCCTCACTTCCATGGGCTCTTTCAGTCCTCCTGTACCCTTCTCACCTGTGTAGATGTTCTTGTGCCTAGCAATATACCAACCAACCCACTACTCCTAGGTCAACTCTCACTAAGAATAACTCGATCGGACGGCATAGAGCTGTTCTATAGATTTGCCGAACTGTACATCTTTTCAGAAACAGACTTCCACGTTTTTTTGAGAGGCTGGTGGGTTCAAACTACCCGCCCTTCGAAAACCAACTGACAACTTTAACAGCTTTGACACTACAGCTCATTTAACATCAAGTGTATTTTCGGTTCCTTCTAACCTGAAGAGCTCATTGTCCAGCATATATCAGACAATGTTCCTCTGCTTTTCTTAGGGTTTTCAGTGGCTCGTCTCTCAGCAGTCAGTGACCCTGCTTATGTTTCAAATATAGTCAAATACAGTGTCACAGGAACACCGAGCTACCGCAGCACAAGTGAAAATCTATGAACTAAATTCCATCTTTTAATTACAACATTCAGTTTATACAGAAAGGCCATAAAAATGCTAAATCTTCTAACAATAGATAAACTTATAATGCTCATTTGTTTACTTTTAATTTTTTTAGTATCTCTTTAAACCCTATTTGTGTACACTTTATGTATTTCAAACCATTTTATTTTTTGACCCTCAAATTGTCCATTTTAATCAATGGAAAGCCCCTTCCAGTTAGCACTGAAGTATTTTTGATACTGTTACCTTTATCTTAGCTTCTTTATTTGCTATCCAATCCAACACACCTTTTACATTTTCCAGTCCAGCCCTAGAAGCAGCCATCTCTCTCAGTGACAGTGTTAATGGTGCTTGTTGTTGGGTGCCCGAGTTGGTTCCCACTGAGAGTGAACCTGCGTGCAACTGAATACTAAAGGAAATCCTTGTCTGAATCGTGTTCCTAAAGGAATGGTTTCAATCTCTCTTGAGACCGATGGTCACTGATTTTACATAATTGTTGTTAAGTGTCGTGGCATATGTGTGGATTCATTGTGAATCTGTCCATCCTCCCCAATGTTGTTGTTTGACACCATTGCTGCAGCCACTTGAGGGCCTGCCTCCTTCACTGACCAGATTCTATGTTACCAAGCATGATGGCCTTTTTCCAGCATCTGGTTTCCCCTAACGACATCACCAAAGTAAATGAGATGAAATCTTTTCTTTTTTTAAAAATAATTGTATTGGGGGCTTGTAAAACTCCTGCTTCTAAGGATAATTTTGGCTGTTACTCTTCCAAGACAGATTTGTTTGCTCTTCTAGAAGTGCAAGGTACATTCAGTGTTCTTCACCAACACCGTAATTCAAATACATTAATTCACTGGTCTTCTGCAGGCACTGTTCAACTTTCACATGCATATAAAGCGACTGAAAATACCACGGCTTGGATCAGGCACTCCTTAGTCCTCAATGTGACATCCTTACCCTTCAACACTTTAAAGATCACTTGTGCAGCTGATTTACACAATGCAACACCTCCTTTGATCTTGACTGTTACTTCCATGAGGATTGGTTGTGGATCCAAACAAGATTAAATCCAAGTAATTTTTATCTTTTCTCCATCAGGCTGTTGCTTAGCAGTCTAGTTGTAAGGATTTTTTTTTTCCCAAAGGGAAGGGGAAATGAATACCATTGATGACGCCCTTGGTGAATCCCCTCTCACTATGGACTAGGGCTATGAATAGTCTTGCTATCATGCAGAATGCATTGAAAAGTGAATTGTTGCACATGCAGTTAAATTAAAATTTAGCACCCTGTCATTTGACCTCTTTTGTGATTCATTTAAATTTGTTCTCGCTTTTAATATTTTCTGCTTTGTTTTAGATTAAGGTTTTATCTATTTTACTTTATTATTATTGTTAAGTAAATTTTTTTCTGTATATGAAATTCAAGATCAGTAAATCTATAGCGGCAGCAATTGGACTAATGGTTCCTTGCGGGTATGGCAAGAGGAGGTTGGGTGAAATGGGAGCTAATAATGATGAGTACAAAAATGAAGAAAGGAATGTGGTGCTGATTGTACAGCTCTTTTTGATGTGATTGAATTGTATGACATGTGAATTATATGCCAATAAAACTGTTGAAAAAATTGAGTTGCCATCCATACTGAAAGCTGCAGTCCTTGATTTTTATGAACAAGTGCTTCAAGTTGTCCTCTTTTGCATATGATATCAATGATATTCTGTAATTCTCACATTCTGTTGGGTCACTGCTCTTTGGAATGAGTACAAATATTAATCTCTTCCAAGGTTACATCATTGGCATATCACAGGTTGTTGATAAGCCTTCTTCCATTTCTGATGCCTTTTTTCATATAATCCAGGTTCTCAAATTATTTGTTCAGCATATATATTTAATTAAGCAAGGTGAACGGCTACAATCCTGATGCACACCTTTCATAAGATTAAACCACCTAGTGCTCTTTTACAGGGAGCCCAGGTGATGTAGTGTTCAATAGTCCAAAACGTCAAGCCACTTCTAGAGAGAAAGATGAGGCTTTCTACTCTCATAAAGACTCATAGTCTTGGAAACCTAAGGAGCAGTTCTATTCTTTCTTATAAAGTCACTATTAATCAGAATTGCCTCTATGGAAGAGTTTAATATTCCCCCTCTTTTTTTTTATAACTGCTTCTTGGTCTATGTACAGGTTCCTTGTGCGCATATTAAGTGTTCTGGAATTCCCATTGTTTGCAAGGCTATCCATAGTTTGTTATGGTCCACACATTTGAATGGTCAAAAAAAAAAACATCAGTAAACATCTTTCTGGTACTTTATGCTTTCATCCAAAGTCCATCTGACATAGCAATGATGTTCCTTGTACCATGTTCTCTTCGGAATCCATTGAATTTTGAGCTTCACCTTGTTGATGTACTGCTGCAATCCTTGCTAAATTAACTTCAGCAAAAATTTACTTTCATGAGTTATTAATGATATTATTCTGCAATTTGCACATTCTGTTGGGCCATTATTCTTTGGAATGCATACAAATATGTACCTTTTCCAGTAGAGTTGTCAGGTAGCTGTCTTCCAAATTTCTTGGCATAGCTGACTGTTTGCTGAACTATTCTGATTGGTATTCTGTCAGTTCTTAGAGCCCTGGTTCTCACTTATGGCTTCAGTGATGCTTGGACTTCTTCCTGCAGTGTTATCGATTCATGATCATGTGCTACCACTTAAAACGGTCGGCTATCTAGCAGTTCTTGGTGAATGTATGTATTTGATGACTCGGCATATGTATTCCTTCCATCTTTTGATGCTTCATAAATCGTTCAATATTTTGCGCATAGTATTACTCAGTAGTTAAACTTGTGGTTTGAACTTTTTTCTTCAGTTCTCTTACCTTGAGATATGCTGTGTGTTCCTCCTTTGGGCTCTGTGACTACAGATTTGTGCACATATCATTATAATGCTCTGTCTTGTTGAGCTGCTCTTTCAAATTTTCTGTTGAAGTGATTTTATTTCATCATTTCTTCTATTTGTGTTAGCTGCTCTACATTCGAGTTTCAGAGACTTCTGACATCCACTTCGATCTTTAGTTTCCTTCTTGTCATATTAATGACCTTCTGCTTTTTTCATGTATGCTATTCTTGATGTCATCCCATAGTTCATCAGATCTTCTGTCCTAGGTGTCAAATCTGTCCTTGAAACGGTCTCTGTATTCATCTGCTTTAGGATACTTGTGGTGAATCCAGTGTTTTGTTTATTCAAATAACTAGAATATTTACTCCTAATCACTTCACAATGAAGACATTAAAGAAATTTGGGAAAATAACTGGTATTATTTCAAAATTTAAAATGCATATTCCCTCTGACTCAAAAATACCAATTTCAGAAATTTGTGCTGCTGAAAAGTTTTGTAAAAAAGCAATTAGGCTAGTATATAAAACATCTGAAAAACAATATTTATTTTAAAAACTATTTATGAAAGCCAAAACTAGAAACAATTGTGTGCTTATAAATAGGGGGAATATCTGAATAAATTAATATCAAAAATCACTATAATTCAAATTATAAAATATTTAGCCTATACTTCCCTGGAAAGATGCCCATGATTACACATAGAAAGCAAAACACAAAATGCGAAGTAATGTATGTAAATGAGCCCTGTGGTAGATAAGGTCATGTTAACTTGGCCGGCCATGGTTCTCATTGGTTTGGCAGATATTATGTAATTATTCTCCATCTAGTGACCTGATACATACAGACAGTTTATTTAATGAGGAGTTTCCTTGAAGGTGCAGTCTGCAGTTCTCTATCTGAATGTTCTGACAAAGCTCATCTACACTCGATCACGCATCCCACCCTTCATCACCTAACCTCTGGTGCCTGGGTTGTGAATCAGTAGCCTACCATCTGTCCTGAAGATATTGGTACTTACTGGTTCCTACACCCCCATGATCCAGCAGTCTGTTATCTGATCTGCTGATTTGGGGTTTGTCAGTACCTACAACCACATGAATCAGAAGAAGGCCCCAGTCTGATGCTTCACACAAGTATATGGAACTAGCCAAGACTCTACAACTTTGTGAGCCATTTCCTTAAACTATATATATAAACTATATTATACACACACACACACACACACACACACAATTTCTTTTTCTCATCTAGAAAATTCAGCCTAAAACAATCCCATTTTAGTAAAGGGTAGATCAAAATTTTATTAATGTGAATCTATATTTGATGTACCATTATACCCACAAAGTAAATCAAGAACATTTTAATGGCATCAAAATGTTACTATTGTTAAGTAATGGAACTAGGTAAAGGAAGAGAAAAAGGAGAGACAGTAACTTCTTTGTACACTTTTGTGTGGTTTGATTTTCAATAGTGAATCAATCATGTGTAGCTTCAGAAGTTGAAAAAAGGAAGTCCATGGAAGCAAGTAATGGGCAGAGAGGGGAGGTCTCACCTAGGGTAAACCTTCTTATTTTTAAATCATGAATATTTAGGTCTACTCAGGACCCCTGCAGTGGTGAAAGCATTCAGCTCCTGAGAGGTCAGCAGTTCAAACCCATCAACAGTTCCATGGGGAAAAGATGTGATAGCTGCGTTTGTAAAGACTGACAGCCTTAGAACCTTGTGATGTTCTAGACTGTCCTACAGAATGGCTATGCGTCAGACTGGCACCATAGCAGAAGGTTTGGGTTTTGCTATGTCTGCTCTGCCAGCACTCCCCACAGTCCTGGTTACTCCTTCACTCATCTAAATGCTATCTAGCGTTTTACTGAGGGTTAGTCACAAGCCTTAACTGGAATAATGAGCCAGCTGCTCATTACTTGCACATACAGCATCACATTTCAGAAACTTCAGCTTCTCACCAGAGAAGATACACTTTAAAGAATAAAAAATATATTTAATAGAGGTACATACTTTTCTTCTTCAGAAGAGTTCATATTTTCTCCATAAAGAAGTAAAATAAGACCTTCTTCTACAGATGCAATTCTTGTCAAAATATCAGCTATATGAATTAAAGCTGTTTCTGAACAATTTGAAGCAGCCTGTATATTAAAAAGATAACAAGACAAATCATATAATTTTATGACATGCTGACACAACAGACAAACTTCAAGGGTGGTAGTATAGATTAATAAAGTTATATTACCATAAAAAATTTAATGATGTTTCGCTGTAAAATGATATATACGAACTGTTATTAGATTATATGCTCCTACCAGCAGAGTTAATGAGGCAAATAAAAACAGGTTTTTCACCCAAACCAGTTATTGTTTACTGAAATGGTTGAGAGAATTGTTGCTTCTGCTACAGTTTTATATATCATTATGGCTGACAAATGAAGGTGGCCCTTTATTTCTACTTTGTCCTTTGCTTCCCACCATGGGATCTCGTATATCCAATTCAAATTTTATTACACAAAACATAACATATTACTCCCCTCCCACAGATAACTGAGTCATGAGTGAACTAACTTATCAGTTGGCTCATGACCAATGATGGCACCTTGCGGAGGAGGGGTGGAGCTTAATCAATTATAATTTCTTTGCTTTTGATTATTAAATAAAGTCTTAAATAACCTTTGCCAATGAATATCAAAATAGTACAGAGCACATATTTAAAATGATAGACTGATGTTAATACTATAGCTCAAAAAAGAAGCCTACTCGGCTTCCTGTTCTTTTGGGGGCTCGCTTATTTGCATGTTTCTTGTGAGTGTATGCTCTATAATAACTCTGCATGAGTTATTATACCTAGTAAGGAATACATCCTATTAAATTCAATAGACAAACTTTCTTAATGATGAGTTGTTACAGTCACCTTGAGAAAGAACCTCAATATATTAGGTAGCTTTCACTTTTCACATTAATTATCTTTAAATACACAAGCACACTTTTCTCCTTAGAATGTTTTTTCTCTAAAACTAAAAACTTTAAATTTCTGCTCCGCATTTTCAATGTTTCACATGTTCAAAAACCCACTTCTCCAATTAGAAGAATCTCCATGCCATCAAGTCAATTCAGGCTCACAGCAATCCTGTACAGTATACAGCAGCCCTTTTGACAGTGTTTCTAATACTGTAAATCTTTAGAGGAGCCGACAGCTTCATATTTATCCTGCCGAGCAGCTAGTGGGATTGAACTGCCAACCTCGTGGTTAGCAGCTCTATGCTTTAAAGGGAAATTTCAGGAAACGTTCATATAATCATTAAAGAGGAATTATCTATGCAAGCCAGATTTAGGACTTTCCAAATACATGGGGATACTTTATTTACATAATGCAAGTAGTCTATTGTAAGTGGAGTAAACTGTAATAAAAATCGGTAGAAAATAATAATACTGAAAACATGGTAAATGCTGAGCTAAAAGATATGAAATTTATTCAGCAAACAACAAGCAGAAAAGTGCATGGTGGCAACCTTGATGACAGTATAGCATAAAAACAATACAACTGAACAACAGAAAATAGAAAAGCAAATTATTGCAAAATTCCAGGCAATACGTTTGGGGCTAAAACAAAAGCAGAAGCCATGGGGAATAAGATACATGTCATCTTAGAGACATACAGGCAAACCAATCTATAGGGCTTAATTACTAATTGAATGCAAAGAGTGAGGAAGGAGTCCGAGTTGCCAAAAGCGGTCGTCACCGAGAAAAAGAGCAAAGGCTTGAGAAGGGATCTAGGGCAGGAAAATACTCCGACTTTGAAATGCTCCTCAGGAAGGTACCTGCAGAATTTAAGGGGAAAGGGTCCAGATTTAATTCTAGACCTAATTTTTATAATGAAATAAACAAACAGTAAGCATGGGCACAAAGAAAAGAAAAATGAACCAAATCATCAACTCCCCAGGGTGGTTGAAGTGGCACACTCAGAGGTCACTCAGAAGAGTGTGTGTGTGTGTGTGTGTGTGTGTGTGTAGAGGTGGGGGGGATAATGTGATAAAAGTCGAGTAAAGAGAATTTCAAAAGTTGTCAACTGTGTTCAAGATCAGCTAAACACTGGTCAGAAAATTGGTCAGTCATTACTTATTTAGAAAAGTATATGCAACAACAATCTGAGTAGCATCAGTGATGTGGTAGAAGCAAATCAGAATGCAATAATTTGAAAAATGATAGGATGGCAAGGGAACCAAGACCATAATAGTGATATCCAAAGTTAATGAAAATCTTGATCACTGAAACAATCAGATAGTTTAAAGATATCCAAAAGATAATCAAGAGGTTCATTTTGTCAAGCATGAGACCTACTTGAGCACATCTAGAGGTAAAGGGAAGAGATGAAAAGAAAAAATAAAGATCTGTGAAACGAGAGGCCCAAGCAGTAACTGCAGTGCAAGACAGCTCACTGCGCTAATATATGAGTTATATTTCACAGGACTATCGATGTCACAACATTCTACTATACCAGATTGCGTATTGGGAATTCTGTTTGTTTCTCCTGCACTTAGCTTGTTTTCCCAAGGTTACCACATGGTCATCAAGCAAATTTATCATTATATACACTTATTAATTTCCCAGAATTCCATACTTTGTATTGTAGTCGCATAAATGCTTACACGTGTTTTTTGAAAGACTGAAGAATAATGAAAGCATAAAAGAATGGACCTCCTGTGGAGAGACAGGGTTGTACTTGAAATGAAACTAGTAAGAAAATTAATGGAGAGACAAAAAACTTTAACCTACAGATGCTCTTCCAAGTCATCTCCCATAAGTCATAAAAATAGAGGGACAAGTTAGACAGAGATGGGGCATGTATTCAGAGAACTAAAGGTATCTCATGCTCAGTGTGTGATTTTGAGCAATTTACGTCTTTCAGACAAGGTCATGGCATCTAAATGATATCCTGCAAAGGAATGTACCAAGCAAATGTACAGAGACATCCATATTTCAAAGCTGACATGGTAAAAAGTTATCTGTCTAAAAGATTACTGTTGCTATGTGCTGTTGATTCCAACTTACAGCACCTCTATAGGACAAATTGCCCCACAGGACATCCGAGACTGCAGTATTTACCGAAAGGAGTCCTGGCGGCTGTTCAAACCCACCAGCTAATAGACAGGAGGAAAAAAAAAGGCAATTTGCTCCGTAAAAATCGGCCATCTCAGAAACTCTATGGGGCAGTTCTGTGCTGTATTATAGGATTGCAATGAGTCAGAATCAACTAGGCAGCAGTGGGTTTAATTTGCTTTAATCTTTACAGGGTACAATCAGCAGGTCCTTTCTCCTGTGGAATAGCTAGTGAGTTCAAACCATAAACCTTTGGGTTAGAGGTGAAGCTTAAGCACTGTCCCAACAGGGTTCCTTAAAGGAATACACATTCTTCTTACCAGGACAGAGTTGCTCCTCAGGAAAATAATCACATTTCCAAAGACCAAAAAATTACCATTTAAGCAAATGAAAAATGTTCTCAATATTATTTATGGGTTTTTCACAATATTTATTAAGTTTGCAAGACAAAGAACTTCCTAATAGAATGAAACAGAAATGTTCTAAGTTCTTTACATCAGCAGATGTAAGCTTGATTAGGGGAAAAAAAATTATGATGTTATATGTACTTTTCCCCACCACACTGTCACAACTAATAAATCAACTGACTGCATAAACATGATTTAGCTATAAATAAAATCTACATCAGCAAAAAATGTATTCATATATGGAAATAAGTCCTAATAAAGTAATATTTCAAATACATAAAGTTTAGGAATAAAATTTCCATTGACTATTCCCTTACATCCAGTTAAGAGTGACTTTTTTTCCTCTTTAGTAAACAACACTCACCTCAGTCCCTTTCACTAGGTTTTCAATGGGCTGAAGAAGCGCCTCTAGCAGTGTGTTATTGTATAAGCACTCAACTGCACATTCTTTCTGATCACAGAGTATCCGTAGAATTTCAGAGATCATGCTTGCAGGAGAGTAATTCTCTGAACAACAACAACAAAAATTAAATATGAAAACTTAAGTTATAAATTACTCAGTAATTTTTATTTCTTCTTTATACATTGCTATCCCAAAGAATTCAATATCAATGTCAATTAAATAGTTCAATAATCACAACTCAATTTCCAAAGGATGATATTTTACCAAAATTATAACTTGAAGTAGAAACTACTTATCATATTGTTTCTTCAAGCTAACAAAAAGAAAGTAAATGACAAAACTAAATATTAGAAGATGAGAGTGTAAGATAATTTCACTAGAATATTAAATCACTGCTTGACATTGGCGGTGTAGCTTGAAGCAAATCTGTAACTCTTTTATCTTCCTAGCAAACACTTTTCACTTGTTTTAATTTTCTGTTTCTTAAATATTTTCTTAAATAATGTCTAGCATTGAGCCCACTAGAAAATTAAACCAGAATCATTAAACCAATCAGTGACCAGAAAAGAGGCAGAGAAGATAAACTTTTATGAAAAGTAGTATTATTTGTGATTGTAAAAAAACACAATTAAAAGAATGACTATTTTAAGATTTTATTTTAAAATACATACAAGAAAACAAATACATATGTCATACTGGGACTAATAACTGAAAGATACTATTAGTATCTTTACTAATAATAGTAATTAGTATCAGTTACTAATAATAACTGAAAGGTTGTTGGGAAATGGGAGCTAATAATAATGAGTACAAGAATTACAAGAATAAAAAAACCTAATTAAAAGAATATTCCAAAACTGTGGTGATGGTTGTACAACTCTTCTGGTTTGATTGAACTACTGAATTGTATGCTATGTGAATTATATGCCAATAAAACTGCTTTTAAAAAAATACAGGAAAAAGGAAAGAATGTCAGAAGAGATTGAAGCGTGCTGTTAACATAGAAGAAATGCTGAAAGAGCTAAACAAAAGATTACAAAGGTCCACTTGAGAAGACAAAACATAGTATTATAATGAAATATGCAAAGGCCTGGTGTTAGAAGGCCAAAAACAGAGAACACAGTCAGGATTCCTCAAGTCAAAAAAATAAGAAAAAAAAAGCAAGCCTCAGGTTGTAGTGCTGAAATACCCAAACGGGAAAATGTTGAACTACATAGAACGTATCTCCCCTTAGAACTCATTCGAAGTTATTTCCGTTTAACAAGAAGTGAAGGGGAATATATGTGAATTAAGCCTCCGGACGTGAAGACCCTGCTAGCAGAGAGAGCACTGGACAGTGCATTCCGCAGATGCAGTTAGGCTCAAAAATAGCATCTTGTCATTTGAGCTCCTTTATGATACATTTTAAATTTGTTCTAGCTTTTAGTGTTTTCTGCTTTCTTTTCAATTGAGGTTTTAATCTGTTTAATGTGGTTATTGTTATTATTTTTTATGATTTTCTGTATATGACATACAAGAGAGGGAAATCTACAGAGACAATAATTGGATTGATGGTTCCTTCAGGGCATGATAAAAGATTGGGAGTAAGTGGGTAGCTAGGAACGATGACTACAAGAAATAAGAAGAGTTTCTAGAATTAATTGTGGTGATGATTATACAACTCTTCTCGAGGTGATGGAAATGTAAAATTTCATGAAGTGCAATTCTGCTGAGGATAATTAAAAAATCATTGCAGCAGTACATCAACAGGGAGCTGTCAGAAATGCAAACCAGATTCAAAGGGATGTGAGACTGGACAAACTCTTGCTAAGAGCGATCTTAGTTGAAAGCACAGAATATTAGAGAGAGGTTTGCTTGTGTTTTATTGACTATGCTAAGGCACTTGAATGTATGTGTCATAACAAAATATAGATGCCATCTCAAAGAATGGTAATTCAATATCATTCTATTTTGTTTATGGGCTACCTGTACATAAACAGTAAGGCAGTCATTCAAACATCCAGAGGATACTGCATGGCTTAAAATCAGGAAAGGTGTGCATCAGGATTGTATCCTTTCGCACTTGTTCAAGCTGTACACTGAGCCAAGAATCCGAGAAGCTGGAGTACATGCGGAAGAACATGGCATCCTGATTGGAAGAAGGCTTATAAACAACCTTGTTTATTAAAAGCGAAGAGAACTTACTGGGAGAGATTTAAAATGAGAGCCTTCAGTATGGATTACCCCTCAACCTAAAGAAAACAAAAATGCTCACAACTGAATCAATAAGCAGTATCATGCTGAATAGGAAAAGATTGAAGTTTCCAAGACTTTCTTTTCATTTGGATTGACACTCAATATCCATGGACGTAGCAGTCAAGAAGTCAATGGACACGTCGCATTGAGAATCTGCTACTGAAGATTCCTCCAAGTGTTCAAAATGCAAAGGTGTTACTCTGAGGAGGAAGGTGTGTCTGATGTTGGCATTTTTCAAATCTGCTAGCACGTGAAAGCTAAACTGTGAATAAAACTGAAGGAGAATTAATGCACTTAAATTATGATGCAGGCAAAGAATATTACCTGTGAAGATATCAAACAAGCCTACTTCAGAAAACAAATACATTTTAGAAGCACAACCAAAGGGCTGCTTAGAAACATGAGGACTTTCTCTCACATAATCTGGACCTACTCTCAGAAAGAACTAGGCCCTGGAGGAGGGATCATACTTGGAAAAGGACAGGCTCAACCAAAAAGAGAAAGGCCATCTCAAAAGGTCTGCAACAATGTGCTCGAACAAAGCAAGGGTTTCGAGGATGGCTCAGGATCGAGCAGTCTTCTATTTTATTGTATTTACCAACACACTAAGATGGATTTGACGTCACATAACCACAATAATCTGTATTCCCTGACAAGGCACTCTTGATCAAAGAAAATGAACAAAGATACCTAGTAATTGTCAACCAGTTGCAGATGAAAAATGTAATTTGTAATGAGAGACATTATTAATGAGAATATCATCTTCATTTCTTTTAATCATCCATTATTTACTGAGTGCCTACTATATGCCAGATACTGTTTTATGCATTGCAGACAGAAAGATAAAATAAAAATGCCAAATAGATGGTAAACCAATCCATTAACAAATAATTAATAAAGAAAGATGATTTATCTGAAAAAGAAAGCATGAATTAGTGTAGAAAGAAATCTAAATAAGGATTTTATACATGCAAATGTAATAAAGGCAAAAATAAGTTAAAAATCACTATTAGAATTAGCAGCTTATTACAATTACATGAACAACACTCGGTGTTGTGTGCCATTTGATCAATTCTGACTAATGTGGATCACCCAGGACAGAGCAGAACAGCCCATGAAATTATCAAAGCTATCAATTTTATTTTAATAGCTTCATTGACATATCATTCACATATCATAGAATTCAGTAGTTTAAACTGATAAAAAAGAGTTGTGCAATTATCAACACAAGCAATTTTAGAACATTTTCTTCTTTTTCGTATTTGTTATTATTAGCTTCCCATTTCCCACCAACCTCCCCTGTCATACCCCCCACCTCCAAAAAAACCTATTATTCTGGTTACTATATCTATAGATTTACCTATTATGGATTTAAAATAAAGAAAAGCATAACAATAAATAGATAATACATTAGATAGATGATAGATAGATAGATGATAGATAGATAGACAGATGATAGACAGAGATAGAAACATACAAATAACAAAAAATAACTAACAAAACAAAAGATTGAAACCCCTTAGATAAAAAAATAACAGAAATTAATTAAAACTAGAACAAATTAAAATTGGGTCAAGTGAGAGAATGACAAGCTGTTAAATTTAAACCTAGCTACATCAGCATTAGTCCACTTTCCAGTGCACTGAGATAACAACCCCATTCACATGGCAGGCCAGCTGTCAGAGGGGATTCACTGGAGGCTTATTCCAAGTAGGACCCTGCAAATAGAGGTTGGGCTTTCACTGGCAACCAGGAAGACTGCACATGTTCATGGAAGCAAATGGTCTCATCGCCTGTGGAGCAGCTAGGGGGCTCAAACAATCAATCTTTTCGTGATCAGCCAGGCATTTTAACCACTTGCCACCACGCCTCGCTAGATAAAACACAGTTGACAGATAAAAATATGAGTAGTACAACAAGTAAGTACTCAACTGTCTACCGAAAGTTTGGAAGTTGTAACTCACCTAGCAGCTCAAAGCCAGGTGACCTACTGTAAAGATTATAGCCTCAGAAACCCTTTGGGGCAGTTCTATTCTGTCATAAATGGTCGCTATAGGTGGAAATCAAGTCAATGGCACACAGCCACAAAAGTTGACAAATGTATTTATACCACTGAAATATGGCTAAAATAATTTTTATTCACTTAAGATCCTCTCCTTTTACCGATAACAATGATTGATACATAACACACACAGGGACAAACAAAAGAAACCATGGGAGAAGGGAGACAGCAGTCAGCGTAAGATATGAAAATAAAAATAATTTATAATTCATCAAGGGGTCACAAAGGTGGGAGAGGGGGAGGGAAGGGAAAAAGTGGAGCTGATACCAAGGGCTCAAATAGAAAGTAAATGTTTAGAAAATAATGATGACAACATATGTACAAATATTCTTGATACAACTGATGTATGGATTTTTATAAGAGTTGTAAAAGCCCCCAATAAAGTGATCTTTTAATAAATAATAATGATAATAATAATACAAAAGATCCTCTCTGTTGAGCTCTAGTGGTGTAGTAGTTACACATCGCTCTGCTAATCAAAGTCAGCAGTTCAAAACCACCAGCTGCTCCTCGGAAGAAAGATGAGGCTTCCTACTCCCATAAAGTTACAGAGTCAGAAAACCCACAGGGGCAGTTCTACCCTTTCCTGTTGAGTTGCTATGAGTCAGAATCCACTCGATGACAGTGAGCTTCAGTTTTGAGATCCTCTCACCATTTTTGCCAGTATTTTTGGTGCAACTTTGAGTTTAGAACATTATGATTCTATGGGTTATGAAATACATTCATTTGGAAATGATTATTTAAAGAAAAAGTATACACGTTATCTTTGTGTGGGGGGGTTTCAAATCAATTTATTGGGAGCTCGTACAATTCTTACCACAATCCATATATCCATTCATTATGTCAAGCACATTTGTACATTTGTTGCCATCATCATTCTCAAGATGTTTTCTTTCTACTTGAGCCCTTGGTATCAGCTCCTCAATGCATCAATTATTTTATTGTTTTCTTTTATCGCTCTCCTTTATTCGTTGTCCAGCTTTCACATGTATCTGAGGCAACTGAAAAATATCATGGCTCAAACAGGAAAACTTTATTTTTCAAAGTGACTCCTTTGCTTTTTAACCCTTTAAAGAGATATTTTCTACAGATTTGATTAATCCAATTGGTTGTTTAATTGCCTGACTGCTACTTCAATGGGCATTGATTATGGATTCAAGTAAAATTGAATTCTTAATAGCTCTGATCTTTGTTTATCATGTTGCTTATTGTTCTAGCTGTGAGGATTTTTGTTTATGTTGAGTTATAATCTTTATTGAAGGCTGTAGTCTTTATATAAATAATGTCTGTAGTCTTTGTATGAATGTCATCTTTTTTATTATTTTTGCATCTTTTACTTTCAATTTACTCTCTTTGTCAGTTTTTTCAGAGGCTTATTTATTCTTTTGAAACAACCACATTTTGTTTGCTTAAAATGTCTACATTTCTTTTATTAAGCCTTGGAGAAATCAGTTTTCTCTTTATTATTTAGCTAAACTCTTATTGGGATTATTCTAACATTACTGCTAAGGCTTCAAGAGTTGAAAGATTTCTGACTTATGGTCATGGCTTTCTAATTTTAAGATGTATGGAGAATTTTAGCAGCTTTATCATGGGAAGCAAGGACAGTGAGTCGTTCACATATTTTGGACATGTTTTCAGGAGGAACTAATCTCTGGGGAAAGACATCATGTTTTGGAAAGTACAGGGGCAATAAAAAAGCAGCAAAACCTCAGTGAGATGGATTGACACAACTGTTGCAACTATAGCAAGAATTGTGAGGGTGGCAAAGTACATTTAATTCGGGAATTCGGGTGTTGCACCATAGTGTCTCTGTGAGTCAAAAATAATGCAATGCCTACTAACAATAAAACAAAAACTTGACATATGATTTTTTGTCAATCAATTGCAACTATTTTTAAATGTGCATAATATTTGTATTTATCTGGTAAAATGTTTATATCGCCTTCATATTTAAATGAGAATTTTGGTAAATAGAAGATCCTTGGTTGACAGTAATTTTTATGAGCATTTTTAAATGATCCAATTATTTTTTGTCATACATTGTTTCTGCTAGAGTAAGTTGTTAATCTTATGGGATTCCTTGAAAGTGATGCTATATTTCTCTTGTCATTTTTTTTCTTCCTTGTTTTACAGGTTATGGAATCTCTATTTCTGATATTTTTATTAATCATTTTATTTGGGGCTCTTACAGATATTATAGCAATCCATAATTCAATTAGATCAAGCATACTTGTACAACTGCTGTCACCATAAGTTTCAAAACATTGTCATTCTTCTTGAACTGTTTGATATCAGCTCTCCTTTATCCCCTCCGTCCCACACCTTACCCCCCAGGAACCCTTTATATGTATGTATGTGTATGTGTATATGTGTGTGTGTTCACATATACATATACACACACATGTACACATACATACACACACATATAGCCATATCTTACACCATCAATGTATTCATTCACCTACAATTCTGCTATTCATTCCCCTCGAGTGGGGTTATACAGTCATCATTGCTATCAGCTCCCCCTTCTCCCCCTTCCCCCAACCCTATTCCCATACCCTCCTCTTCCCATACCCTCAGGGAATCAATACTCCTGTTACTATTTCTGAAGAGTTTATCTGTCTTGGATTTCATGCATTGAACTATCTTAATTATACAAATGAACATACACAGGTCTAACAAGATTAATAAGGTAAAACTGAGATTGTAAGGTGAGAAAATATTAAAGAACTAGAGGTTAGTTTTGTTTCATCAGTGTTATATTGCACTGGATATATCTTCATTCTGTGTGGCCCTTCTGTGAGGGACTGTCAATTTATCTTACAGGTGGGTTTTGAATGTCCACTTTGTCTACACTCCTTCATGTCAATTTGATTGCTTGTTTTTGAACTTCTGAACCCTATTCTTGACAACACCTCATGATCACACAGGCTGGTGTGCTTCTTCCATGTGGGCTTTGCTGCTTCCCTGCTAGATGGCCGCTTGTTTAACTTCAAGCCTTTAAGACTCCAGGCACAATGTCTTTCAACAGCCGAGTACCATCAGCTTTCTTCACTACATTTGCTTATGCACCCATTTTGAACATTTGAAATGTTAGTATTTTAAAACAGTTTCATAAGTCAGCCAATAGCCCTAAGACCAAAAGGCATTTTACAGAAAAACAAGTTTCTTTATTTTATACTTCAATTCAAAAACAAAAATAAAACAAGGCAAAAAAATCTTAATAAAGATTGAAGATTTGGATGTCAGCCAGAACAGGTAAGCTTAATAAAATGTTCAGGAAGGAGTATAGATAGAATGGAAAGTAGCAAAGAAAGAGTGCATGAATAGCTGTCATTCAAACTTCCTTTAACATCTTCTCATGAGGACAAGCTGATACTAAAAACGAACAACATTTTTTCAGTGAAATTGGTTATAAATAAAAAGGTAGTAAATCAGGAATAGCTTGAAACATAAATGAGCAATATTGAATTGCACGGCTTACTTCCAGGACCAACGCAATTTCTTATGAGTAATACTGCACCTTCATGAAATCTATTTGCTAAACTCAGTTACTCAAAATATCTAGACAATAAACTATGTCATTACTTTTAGGTGTCCTCTATTTCTCTATTTAAACTAAAGGAAGAATTACCTGAATGTGCAGATGATGCCATCTTTGGACAACTTGGGGAGTAATAGATAAGCTGAGCAAACAGAACCAGAAGATCTATAAGGGATATGGAACCTTTAAAAAGGAAAAAAATAAAAGAAAAATTAGTTTCTAATCTATATTTTAACTTTAAAAGATTCAGCTAGACTGTCATTCACTTACATGATTGAGTTTTCATAAAGGCTGTCCTAACATCAGGACTAAAGGGCTGTATTTATGTATTCCAGCAGAAAATATTCCATATTTCCAAATTTCAGTACATAGAAATGAGATTATTTAACTAACTTTGCATTTACACAATTTATATACATACTTTATTTTAAAAATACCCTCTGTTACAAGATCTTTTTTTTTTAATTGATTTAATGTATATGTCATGTTAATTTTGTGGGATCAGCTCTAGAACAACATTTAAATTATATGTATATTGTTTACAATATTAACTTTCCTTATATGTAGCACTAGAGCTCAGAAATCTTTCAAAAAACCAAACTCTACTGGTCCCTTCTGATATGGCCAAACTATATGAGACTAAGTTTTGCCACTTGCTTGCAAAGAATATCCTGTCTCTCTTCTAAGATAGATTTATTTGTTCTTCTCTCAGTACCCATATATTAAATATACTTTGCCAATACTATAATTTGAAATTATTTGTCTCCCACAGTATTAATTCTTCAGTCTTCATTATTCATTGTTCAGTTTTATATGAATATGAAGTAATTGAAAAAATGATTTGTATGGGTCACACTTTAACGCTTATCTTTACTTTTGAATATTTTAGAGACATCTTTTTTTGCAGCAGACTTGCCCAGTGCAGTGTTACATGATTTCTTCCCTGTTGTTTCTAAGGAGTGTTGATTGTGGATCCAATTAAAATGAAGTCCTTGATAACTTCAAAAAAGAAAAAAAACCAGCAACTCGCTGCCATAGAGCCAATTCTGACTCAGAGCCACCCAAAGGAACAGGGCAGAACTGGCCCTGCTGCGTTTCAAGACTGAATTCTTTACAGGAGTAGAAAGCCTCACGAACACCTTATCATGTAATATATAAGTGCATTCATTTTCCCTAATTGCACTTACCTTTTCTATTCTTCAACTTTATAGGAAATAGCTTTCTGCCATGTGTGTAGATCAATAACCTGCCTAAAAGGCACAGTGAGTGGATGAAATAAAGATATTGCAATTCTGGTCCTGTGTAATAGAAATTTTTCTGCTTTTCCCCTTAAAAGAAAAATAAACAAGAGTATTCATTTTAATGTCATTATATTTTACATTACCTCTCTGCATCTTCTTCTGAACATTAAACAGGTAGCAATCTACAATGTAGGCACTGTTGATGGAAATACAGATTTACATTTCTTTATTGCCCTTATCATTTCTTTAGAATTGCCTAAGGTCTTGCACACCTAAATGTCTGAAGAAAACAAACCATCATAGAAGTGTAATACAGAGAGGGTGCTCATTCTAAAATAAATGCAATTAAATTGTCAGAGTTACTATTTATCATCATCAAAAGGAAATTTAAGAGGAAGTTAAGGTGGGGGAGTAGTTAATACTCAATGTTATTTACTATATACTTCTACCAATTAAATGTCAATACTGCAAAGAGCATATGAAGAGCCTAATTTGTAAATTAAATTAGGCTTTCTAAAATATAAATATCTTCATATACCATTAACTTGCTTATTCATCTACACATCCAAGGTTTATTGAGTCCCTATTTCATAACCTAAACTCTGCTGATACCGAAATATGTGAAACGACGCAGCTTTTGTTAAAATCAATTAAAAAATTGGGAAATGGATATAATGTAATTAATTTCACAATAAAACTCTTACTGATTTTTTTATTGAGTGTTTAAAAAGAAAAACAGTAAAGGGCAAAAGGCTTGGGAAGAATAAACATAAAAAGAAACAACGAGTCTCAAAGGTGACTCAGAGAGAATTACTATATAAGACTGAGGAATCCAAGAAAAAATGGTATCCTGAAGAGAAAATGTGTCAACAGTGAAATGGCACAAAATAAAAAGAGGAAACAGTGGAAGTTGATGATGAAAAGGGCTAAGTGACAGAAATAAAAGTCTCACCTTAATGTGTTGAAAAGTGGACAGGAGGTAGAGAAAGAGAATCAAAAATATATAGAATACTTGCATGTTAAGTAGATGAGGAACAGAATGTGTTTCTATCTGACAACTTCCATTTTTCTCATAGAAGGAGAGAGAATTGACCAGGATCAGAATTTCTACTGTACTGCTAGCTTGTGTGTGGCTGTCATGAGGAGACTTATCACTGATATTTCAAATGCAGAAGCATCATCCAAAGTGAACACATTTCAGCAGAGCTTCCAGACTAAGATCAGACTAAGAAGAAGGAATCTGGTGCCCAACTTGGAGGAAACAGCCTCTGAAAACATAGAGGCACATAGAAGTAAAACACTGTCAGATACTGAAGGCCTAATGAACGTCAGTAGAACATTTTCAGAGCTGCTGCTAGAGGATAGGTCCTTCGGGTAGGAAGCTAAAATGTGGCTGAAGAGGAGCTGCTTCTGAAAGTGAAGTCAACCACGGTGACATGAATGAAGAAACGCCTGTTCAAGTGGACCATTCAGGATCTTCATTTGCTGATGGAGCAAAACTCACAGTTAAACAAACAGCTGCAAAACTCTACTAATAATTGGAACTTGGAATGCATAAAGTATGAATCTAGGAAAATTGGAAGTCATAAAGTTCGATATCCTAGGTGTTAGGGAGCTGACGAACTGGTATAGGCCCATTTTGAAACAGTTAGTCACCTGGTTTACTGTGCAGCAAATGACACGATCAAGAACAGGGCTGTATTCTTAGTCAAAAAGGACATATATGGGTTACCTTAAAGTACAATGCAGTCTGTGATAGGATTATATCTATCCACATTCAAGGAAATCCAATCTATATAACTATTATTCAAATTTATGCACCAACCACAAAGCTAGTGATGAAGAAATTGAAGAATTCTACCAAAGTTTTCCTTCAGAAATTGATTAAACATGCAATCAAGAAGTGAATATTTCACTATCTGCAGTTGGGATGGTTTCACATAAAGAAGACCCCAAAGTGAAGTATCCACATCAGCATTGTTGGAAACAATTGAGGAATTAAGTAAAATAGCAGGATACAAGAGTAACAAGCAGAAACCAATTGGATTCCTACATACTAGTGATGAGAATCCTGAAATAGATATCAAGACAATACCATTCACAAGAGCCACAAAAAAGTTGAAATACCTAGGCATAAACCTGACCAAAGAGACAAAATAACTGTATAAAGAAAACTACAGAGCATTATTACAAGAAACCAAAAGAACCCCATAGCAAGGGAAGAATGGCCCATGTTCATGGATAGGAAGACTAAATATTGTAAAAATGTCAATACTATCTGAAGCAATCTACAAATTCAATGCAATCTTGATCCAAATACCAACATCGTTCTTTAAAGAAATGGAAAAACGAATTACCAACTTCATAATGAGAGGGAAGAAGCCCAGGATAAGCAAAGAACTCCTCCAAAAGAGGAACAAAGTAGGTAGTCTTGCACTACCTGATCTCAAAACCTACTACACAGCCACAGTTGGCAAAACAACCTGGTATGGGTGTAATGATAGAGACATAGACCACTGGAACAGGGCAGAAAAACCAGAAATAAAAACATCCACTTACAGACAACTGATTTTATTTTCTCTTTATATGTTTATTCGATAGCCTTATTTTCTTTAGTTTTATTGGCATATAATCCACATATCATACAATTCAATTGTTCAATCATGTCAAAAATGGTACAATCATTACCACAATCAATTTTAAAACATTTTCTTTCTTGGCCCCTCCCCCCACCCATGGTTAAATCACCCTTAAAATTAGTTGTGTAATCACATTCAGTTCTGATGCTGCCTCCTCTTCCCACCTCCAATGCTTACTCCCCAAATCTCCTAACCCTCCCCATATCCACCCCCTCATCCCCTACAAACCCTTGCATCAGTTGTTATCTTGATGTGTCCACCCCTTATGTGCTTCACAAACTGGAAATGCCAACAGACACAATAAGAAACAAAAACAAAATAGTTTTAAAGATAAAACAATAGTAATATAAAGAAAATTATAAACAATGAGTAAAAAAGAAAAGACCACTATCAATATTGAAAAAGCCAGGGAAAAAAATTTTGTCATGGAACAAGCAAGCGATCCTTGCACTTAGAACAAGTTCAGGTTGTATATAGAGAGAGGTCAACTGATCTAATATCAAGCTTGATCTCTGGCATAATCAGGATTACAATGATCTATGTTTGATAGTAAGGATATTCCAGGCATTTACCTGTGGTTGGAATGGATCTGCCACTGCCTTAATCTGACTAGATACTTTGCAGATCAGTTTTGGGCTCCCACTGTCTTCTGTAGCCTTCTACAAATTGGTTGTTCACAATTTAAGCTCTGATACTTTTCCTTTGTCATATTTGAATTTTGTTATTGTCATCTTTGGGTCACACAAGGTAGTGTACTTCTTGCATGTGGACTTAGCTGACTCCTCATTTAGATAGCTGCTCATTTGAATACAAGCCTTTAAGACCCCAGACACTATTCCAATTGATAGTCAGACACCATCTGCTCTCTTCACCACACTTTGTTGTAGCACCCATATCTTCAGTGATCATTTCACGAAGGCAAGTATCAAGCAAGGCCATGTTATCAGAACTAACTATTCTTGAATTGGGGTTAGAGTTAAGTGGAAGCCCAAAATCCATCTGCTTGTCCATGGAATATGCACAACTGAGGTTTAGTTTGGCAGTCCTGCTACAATAAAATCAAAACCCCATAGGGCCAACTACACCAGCACATACAACAAACCAACCAGAAAACAATCAAACAAACAACCAAAGAAGAACAAAAATATAGGTAAAGACAGGAAATCAAACCCATATAAACAAAAAAGTACAATATTGTCAATCATCCACAGCACTCCAGAAACTGTCGGTATAAGGAGTCCATGAGAGCAGCCCATGAGTTGCTATCCTCCACAGTGCGATCTCCCATTTTATGGAGTTCCGTTTACCCTATTTATGGGGTTTGGTGCTAGAAGTAGACTTCCTTTCTGCAGACAACTACTCCCCCTTTGAAAAACAGCTGTTGGCCTGTTACTGGGCCTTAATGGAAACTGAATGCCTCAACAAGGGTCACCAAGTCACCATGAGGCCTGAACTACACATCATGAACTGGAAATTGTCTGACCCACAGTCATAAAGTTGGACGTGCGCAGCAACACTCCATTGTTAAATGGAAGTGGTATATACGAGATCGGGCCAAAGCAGGACCTGAAGGGACAAGTAAACCACATGAAGAAGTGGTCCAAATGCCCACAGTCTCCACTCCTGTCACATTACCTTCTTTCTCCCAGTCTGTACCTTTAGCCTCCTGGGGAGTTCCTTATGACAATTTAACTGAAGAACAGAAAAGTCATGCTTGGTTTACGGATGGCTCTGCACGATATGCAGGTGCCACTTGTAAGTGGACAGCAGCAGCACTACAGCCCCTTTCTGGGATTTCGCTAAAGGACAGTGGTGAAGGGAAATCTACCCAATGGGCAGAACTTCAAGCACTGCACCTGGCCGTTGAGTTTGCCTACAAGGAAAAATGGACTGTATACTGACTCATGGGCTATGGCTAATGGCTTGGCTGGATGGTCAGGGAATTGGAAGGAACGTGATTGGAATATTGGTGACAAGGAGGTGTGGGGAAGAGGTATGTGGATAGAACTCTCTGAATGAGCCAAGAAAGTAAGTGTAATTGTGTCTCATGTGAACGCTCACCAAAGGGTTACCTCTGACGAGGAGGACTTTAACAATCAAGTGGATAAGATGACACGCGCTATGGAGACTAGTCCTCCTCCTTGTTCCACCACTCCTGTTATCGCCCAATGGGCACATGAACAAAGTGGACATGGTGGTAGGGATGGAGGTTAGGCATGGGTGCAGCAACATGGACTTCCACTCACCAAGGCTGACTTGGCCACTGCCACTGCTGAGTGCTCCATTAGCCAGCAGCAGAAACCAACATTAAGTCCAAGATATGGGACCATTCCTCAGGGAGATCAACCAGCAACTTGGTGGCAGGTTGATTACATAGGACCACTTCCATCATGGAGGGGACAGTGTTTTGCTCTGACTAGAAGAGACACCTACTCTGGATATGGATCT